TGGTGAAGGGCCGGCCTTTCGGTGACAGTAGCCTTAGATATCCCGCCACACATCTCTGTATCTTGCCCATTTGTGGAAGCCTACAATTGGTCAGCCGCCGTAGACAGTTGTAAATTCTTTGCTTTGTCACACTCACCCATAGATGGGAACCCCTCATCGCCACCCTTGACGGCGTCCATAAACAGCTGTGTCATCCCCTGCTCAGCAAGCAGCTGAATGCAGCTGTCTAATAGTCTGACCATCACAGCGCCCCGCCGACCTGAATCTCTGCATAGATCATCTTGCACCGTAACGGTTAGCACATGACGACGTGGTGCTCAGAAAAACACTGACCTGCAATGCAAACGCACGTTACCCCGCCAACATCATCCCCAATCATGTTGGTCCAAGGCAGATCCTCGGCCACCGGACTCCCTGTGTTCTTGACATATGTCAAAGCCGCGGCAACCATCGTGCCGGCTTCGTCCAGTCCGACAACAATATCGCGGATGTTCATCGAGTTCGCCAGCTTGGCATACTGGTCGTACCAGCCCACATTGTCCCTCCTCCTAGACTCCGACCCTACCAGCGCCAACACCATGTCGAACTCGTGAAATTCGCACTGGCGGAACACCGGCCCCGGTGGCAACACGGTTGGAATAGGCCAATCCGCAAACTTCAGCAGCCAGTCGCACGCCTCCTGCCCAGTCCCCGGGCCCGGTAACTGGGTAAGGACAGGCCAGTTGCGTCGCCCAAACCAATCCTCCACCGGTGAGTCCATCGGAAGCCCATACAACAGCCGAGGAAACGTGCTCCCAAGCTGTAACCGGCACACACCACGTGTCTTTGTAAGCTGCCTCAGCGCATGGTTGTGCAAGCTCAACCCGATGCCTCGTTTCCGGTACGCCGGGCGCACAAGCAAGGCAGCCACGGACCCGACCAGGCGTTCCTCCTCAGCCCCGGCATAAGTTGTATACGTCGCACAAAACCCGAGCAGCTGGGAGGTCCCCGGCTCACGAACCACGTAATGCATCGCCCACCCGTCCCGTCGCAACAGCGCCTGGAACAAGAAGCGGCTCAGGTGGAAGTTGTCTGGGAAGCACCGGCACCAGAGCTCATACGACGCATCCATGTCCCGGGGCCCGTTCCATACCTCGACCGACCAGGCCTTTGGGGCGAGGACCAGATTCTGCAGGTTAGGACCGGTTGATGGTGGCCGCTTTTTGGTCTCTCCGAATATGACGTCTGCCGCTGCTTCGAGATCGGACGGGTCGAGGCTGGGTACCTGCACTATCGCCGGGAACGACTTTTCGATGGGCCCCAGCTCTCGGGCGTCGCAGCAGGCCACGATGACATGTGGTCGGTTCTCGCAGATACTTCGTGTGATCTCGGCGAGTGCCACTTGCGAGGGCTGACCATGGACAGGTGGACCTGAGAGGACGAAAATGATCGCCGTGGCTAGCCTGATGTGCACAACATGTGTGCCGGTGATACCGTAGCGTGGTAGGTAGGGCACATGCCGAACCCAGGGATGATGCTTCGCCAATGCCTTGCCTAGGGATTCGAACGGGTCACTGGTAAGTGGTGTCTCTGAATTCATTTTCGAACTGCCAAGATCCGGTATGATTCCAGGTGTGAGCAGTAACAGGAGGTCGCCATCCTTGAGTGGTTTTGATAGTGGCAGATAGGAATGCGAATCTTGCATGACCGTAGTCACCCGGTGCTTGCTGAGGTCCATGGGAACAGGAGAGGTAGGGTCAAGGTCAGTTGTTGAGGGTTCGGGAGGACTCATTATGAATTAATAAATGTGTCTGGGTTCATCGGTCAGTCAATGGTCAGGGGTTGAGGGCGAGGGTGGTCTTGAGCCTCACTTACATCACCTTTTGAACAGTTTCAAAACCTCACACATTTCTGAACGGGAACCCCACCCATGCAAGCCTTTTTCTTGAACTTTCTTGATCTCGTGCCGTGTCAGTCCACGCGTACCGTCCTAGGGACAAGTCGGATACGGGATGAAAAGTGTTATTAGTTGCAGCCCGAAAGCTGGTGGTGAGCGGTACGGTATAAGTTGCGTAATGGGGATCCCAGGGCCGGGTGAAATGGCCTTCAACCAGGACTTTCCGAGGTAAAATGCAGCGAACTTGGTAGGATTTTTTGGTGCCCTTTCGGGCGGAGAGGAATGAGCCAAGAACAGGGCCAATGGGAGCGGCAGAGGAAAGTTGGGGGCACCACGAGTCGGCAACGGTAGATGGGTGCGTGTGGTTATGTATGTAAGTTGAATTTATTGCAGGAACCTAACAAGTGAAGGTGTGTGTGTGTGTGTGTGTGTGACACCACACCCCCCGAAGCTCGTCAAGCAAGAGATGAGATAGACGCGGGAAGACCAGAAACAGCGCCTCTTTTTGAGGAAAAATTCCATCGAGTTCCCTGTCAGCCCTCCTGTCAGCGGGGTCTCAGAAAACGGCCTAGGTGGCTTTCAGTGCCGCTTCAGGTGTAAGATTGGCCTCTGGATGTACTGTAGTTGGTGACTGGCACAACAGGCGACCGGGTAACACCATAGTGGCAGCCTGTTTAATGCCGTTGTGGTTACTGTTTGATATTTGCACTTCGGCTTGGTGTAGGCTGCATGACAAGTGCGGTGGGTGGTGGTGGTAGTGGTGGTGGTGGTGAAGGGTCAATTGGTGGGTGATGTACGCCTGAAAGAAGCTTGGGTTGTACAGAAAGACGTGCAGATATTGGAGGTCAAGCAAGAAGCATGACGCGCTGATACCGACCTGCGTATCCATAGACTTGTTGTATTCAATGTTGGTGATGTTGGTGTTGGTGTCGGTGTCGCTCGTTGTTGGCTTCACCAGTCGATCATCCGGTGGTTCTCTTTGTCGGCATCGGGGCCTGGATGGTCCGCGCCGCTTTGCCCCATGTCTGAATGTGTTGCCTTGCCGGAGCTTTTGATCTCGGAAGCGTAGACGCCGCTATTGCTGACTGACTGGTGTTACACAGAAAAGTCTGGTTACAGCGTGATGACCGACCGTACTCGTACTCGACGACGGTAACACATCTTGTTGAAGATACGGCAAGTGCATCGTCGAGAGGCGGCCGAGCATGGGTAGCACAAGCGTGAAGGTAACCTCCCAAGGAGCAAGGAGCAAGGGGTAGAAAGAGACGCGGAAGCGCAGGCCGTGTGGGGAAGGCCCGACAACAGCTATACTTGTCACCGAGAATGAATGTCGAGAAGGATCGGGCGAGTGAGCAGACGTGGGGGTGCCGGCAAGGTTGGGGATGTGTCTCGTTCAGACAGACGTCAGACGGGCTGTCTTGATTGTTGATTGTTGCGCGGGTGGAAAGTCTGTGTAACAGGCCTCATCTCGACCGTCACCGTCAGGGCAGTCTTGCCTCATTACCCGGCCTTGCCGACAGCAGAACCAAGAACCAGGCATATGATAATGAAAGATGCAAAATATGTCCAGATTGGGCAGTTGAAGGTTACACATGTAGACATGCAACCCTGGACTGCTTGGCATTAAAGTTTGGCGGGTTAGGGTTACAATCACGTCTTGAAGATGCCAAGGACAAGGTTCCTGTCGAAACGCGTTCGACGCGTGTTCCAGAGCATAGGTATCACAGGTCAGGTTACCTTTTTGGGGTATGGTGGAGTGGTTTTGGAAGGCCCAATGGACGGAATTCACGGCCAAACAACATCGATTCAGCATTTATCAGCATAAAAAGTCAGAAATCCCAACATGAGTTTGTCCCCTCCACTAGGCGACCGGCTTGACCAGCTTTTGGACGACTTGGAAACAGGTATGGTGTCTTTCATGATTGCATGCATAATTCGCAATTACATTGTTCGCTCACTAACTCGCAGGCAGCATCCAAAATCCCGGCCAAACGACGCCAAACAAGCATCAAACCCACAGTCGAAAAGACCACATCACTTCTCTATGACCGAGGCGCTCTTCCAGATGACCTCATCCGTCTGGTCGACTTGTTAACCCAACACAATCACCTTGACCAGGCCAGTCTGTCGGCAATCACCCGCAACCTCTATCCTTTGGGAAAAGTCAGCGATGAAGTCCTTTTACGAATCGTCGGTGCCTTGGGCCACGGCCACCTCAAGCCATCGTTTCCCCTTCAGAGCCTGTTCCTGAAATGGCTGGTGATGGTGTACCACCTGTTGCAGAACCCAACCATCTTGTCACAGACATACGCCGTCTTGTTCAACCTTCTCGATTCGGCTGCCATCAGGTACGTCGAAAAACTCGGTTCAGATGATGTTTGGGATCTCGTCTTACTGACCATGGTCACTTGCCCTCGCACAGACCGCAGCTGTGTCACCTTCTGGCGCTTATCACCAGGCGGAAGCATGTGCGACCATTTAGGATTCAGACCATGTGAGTGAGCGATCGTATACCTCGTATTTTGCGACTGACCAGGACTGACATAATCATGGATTAGACTGGCTCTTTCGCGACAGACTGGCGGTGACCCCAACTTGACTGGTCTGCTCAGGGTCTTCAAGAACTACTACCCAGAGATTATCGTGGGCGACATCACCAAGGGACGTGCGGCTGCTTTTAAACACCCAGATGTCCAGTGGAGGGAGCGGCTCAACGAGATTCAGCAACAGCATTTCGACCGGCATGAAGACGACGGGACCAGAAACGGCTTTGCTGTCAGTCATGCTTTGGGACGCCGGTTGAAGGGGGCGAGAGCTCTTGTTCCCAACGTTCATACGCTACATGCCCACGAAACCTCGGTGACACTCGAGGAGTTTGACAGTGCCGAGGGGTTTGTCAACAGTCTCGAAAAGATCGAAATGCCCTCGCAGCTGGTTGCCGTCCTTGCAGACCCCTTGCTGCAGAAGTTTTTGTTGCTGCGGCCCAGTCAGGAGGCTTCGCAGCGCATAAGCAACTGGCTGATGGCGTGTGTGGGTGATGTGGCGAGCGGTGATACAGACCCGTCATTCCTACTCGATATGGTAGAGGTGATTCGTGATTATGTCTTGAGTACCAAGGTTTGTTGTGTCTATTGTTCCACACAACTCCTCCATGCTAACATGCTGCAGGAATTATCTCCCGTTTTGATGGAATTCTTCCAAAGCTTCCTGCAGACATGGAACGGGTTAGACAAACGAGACATAGTCCTCGAGACGTTGAGCTACCTCCCCTTGCTTGACTTTACCGGTATGCCCTCACCTTCATCCCTAATCACCCAACTTGTCACTAACCCATTCAGACTTATCCCCCCTCTTCACCCTCCTCCAATCTAAGCTCCTCAACAACACCCCCCAATCCCAGCTCGCCCTCCTAACCTTTTACACCCTCCTCCTAAACAACTGGACGACCCGCCTCCTCTCCCGACCCACCTCCTCCCTCCCATCACAACCAGTCACCTCCATCCCCTCCCTCGTCACCCACGTCAACCCCCTCTGCCTAACTCTATCCCAATCCTCCCCTTCCATCTCCACCTCCCTCGCCATCCTAGACTTCTACACCGCCACAGGCAGAATCTACTCCTCCCCCATCCTCCTCCTCCACATCCCAATCGCCATCCCCCCACCCTTGCTAGTCTACAACCTAGCCTTCTCCCCCTCCCTAACCGTCCTATCCCGCCTCTGCTCCATCCTAACAGTCTATAAAATAGCCTGGGAGACCGTCATAACCAAGAAGACCTCCCCGCAGCAACAGCAACGAAAACCATCACAGGAAGAATGGTCCCAGATCAACATCTTCAACGGCTTCCTGATGGACATCTGCAACAACCTCTGGAGGGGACGTGCATTCGCCCTCGCACCAACATCCGACTCTGGCTCCCCCGACGCCAACGCCAGGGGTTGCCGCATACCGAAATCGCTTGTCCCTGTTTTGGACTCGTATCTCAGAGATTTAGACGATGATTTAAAGCTCGAGACTGTTTTTGGTCTGAGCTACAACCCGGTGCTTTGTCTGCAGAGTATCAAGTTTGTGAGGGGGCTGGAAGAAAAGGAAATGAAAAAGGGGGGGCTGTTGGTAAGGCATGCTGGGCCGGTGACGCAGCAGAGTTTGGTGAGGCTGGCTGGGAGGGGGGGGGTGAGACTCAGCTGGCAGGAGTACAGGGCGGGAGTGTTGGGGTGGTTGGAGGGGGAGGAGGTGGGGCAGGGGGGGTTGCCGGGGTTGATGTATAACACCATGAAGAATTTGATGGGGACTAGACGGGGGACGGAGGGAGGGGGAGGGAATTCGTTTTCCTCGCTGGCGTAGGGGAAAAGGGATGTGCTTGTTGATGGATGGGTATCATTCTTGTGTTTGGTTAAAAATAACTGAGGTCTAACCACCGTGCATGGTCGAGACAAAAACAACTTTATCCCCTGCCTTGAGCTCGCATTCTTCCTCCCCTTCGAGTTCCCAGTCTGCCTCGTTGATGAGGACCAGTATGCCGGGTGTTCTGGTTTGTTAGTTGTGCTCGGCCTGTTCAAAGGAAAACAGGAACACTTACAAGTGACCATCGTCTTGCACGAAAAATTCTGTCCTTGGGTGCTTGAGGTGGTGCTTGACGAGGTATGAGATTAGGAAGCCGACGTTGGCGGGGGAGGAGTCGGAGGGGTTGAGGAGGGGGAGGGAGATGGTGTGGGATGTTTTGTTGGAGAAGAGGGTGTCTAGGCCGCCTCTGTGTGAATGTCAGTATCATGAGAAATGATTAACAACTCTATGATGAGAGATGGTATGTGGTGGTGATATCAAACCAGTAACCGAATAAGACTGAGAGGGGCTTACAGGAAATCCACCGAGATGGGCATGGTCTCTGGTTCTGGTGCCATTTTGATGATCTTGCTATGTAGCCTCAGTTGTTGAAATAAAATGAAGAACAAAAACCGTGAAAACCAGTTGTAATATCAACCCTTCAGAAGTTGAATCATATCAAATTGAATCATTCCCTCTCAAGGTTTCACACTCAAAAAGAAAGCTACCCCACACTTTATTGCTCACTGTCCTCCAAAAAACCTTCCCAACCCTGACATTTCGACCAATCACAGTCCTCCATTTCTCACATCTGCCTTCCCTTTTCTCGAAACAGTTCATGTGAAACCACGCCTCTCACTATACGACAGAGACGAAAAATTTATATAAAAAAATGGCCGACACAGAGACGATAAGAGCAGACAGCAGCTATCTGGCCGCGGGAGCAAACAGGTACTCTGCCGCCTCTGACTGGAGCGCCGAGGGGGTGGTGGCTTTCGGGTCGAATGCGAATGTTTGTTTGTGGAATCCTCAAGTATGTTTTCTCTTTCCTACCCTAACATAGGGGTTGTGTGAGCAAGAAACTGATGGTGTATACAGAACCCAAGAGGTATCTCAAGCATACTCAGCCAGCACACCGGCCATGTCAAAGCCGTCAAGTTTCTCCCCAGGCTCGAGGGTGACGACAAGACTATCTTGATCAGCGGAGGAGACGACAAGGTTGTTCGTGCCTGGAGCGTGAGCCCTCGAGATGCTACAGCTTCGTATTTGCAGGCTGTGGAGGGGCATGCGGAGCCTATCAATTGCATTGCGGCTTTGGGAGTGACGCCTGCTGGGGCTCCGACGAAGAGGATATTCGCTACCGGGGCGGCAGATGCGACTTTCAGAATATGGGCTCACAATTCGGCTGCGAACGAGGAGCCGTTCAAGCTTCTCCAGTCTGTCAAGACGACCAAGAAATTCATACCCTTGGCTCTGGCGCTGAGCCCGCTGGATGATGAAGCAAACGGAATTGTGCTGGCTGTGGTGGGGACGACAAATGCGGTTCAGATATTCACAGCTGGTGCTTCAGATTTGGAGTTCACACTGCAGGCTACCCTGCCAGGGCATGAAAACTGGGTGCGGTCTCTGGATTTCATCAAGGAAAAGACAGAGGCGGGGAGTGATCTACTGCTTGCCTCGGCCAGTCAAGACAAGTATGTTCGTCTCTGGAGGCTTCACCAAGGGACGGCTCTCTCAGCCCTCAACAATGCCACCGGACTGGACCTGTCAGTCTCCCTGACACCAGGAAACAAAATCCACAAGATCTCGGCCGGCGGCACAAAATACTGCGTCATGTTCGAAGCCCTGCTGCTCGGACACGAAGACTGGATCTACACGGCCCGCTGGTCCCGAACCGCAGACGGTAAACTCCTCCTCCTCTCCGCCTCGGCCGACAACTCCCTCTCCATCTGGGAATCCGACCCCGAATCCGGCATCTGGATCACGGGCGCCCGCCTGGGAGAAGTCAGCCGCGAAAAGGGCGCCACAACAGCAACAGGCAGCATCGGCGGCTTCTGGACAGGCCTATGGTCCCCCGCAGGAACAACCGTCATCACCCTCGGCCGCACCGGCAGCTGGCGCCGATGGGATTACAACCCCTCCGACGACGCCTGGCAGCAAACCTACGCCATCTCGGGCCACACCCGCGCCGTGACGGGCCTCTCCTGGTCCCAAGATGGCACCTACCTCTTGTCCACCTCGTCCGACCAAACCACCCGCCTCCACGCCCAGTGGACAGGCAACGGCACCGACTCTTCCTCCTCTGGCTCCTGGCACGAGATGTCCCGCCCGCAAATCCACGGCTACGACCTCAACTGCACCGCCACCTTGGGTCCGACATCCTCCTTCGTCTCGGGGGCAGACGAAAAGCTGATGAGGGTGTTCACCGCGCCAAAGGCGGTGGCTAAGATGCTTTCTTACCTGACAAACTCCAAAATCGACATGTCCTTCGCCCCTGACGCGGCAGACATGCCAGTGTTGGGTCTGTCCAACAAGGCCATTGACAACACCTCCTCCGAACGGCAACCTGAATCCCAAGAAGAAGAAGAAGGCGGCCTCTCCCAAAGCAACTTCACCATCCCGGCCGCCCTCGAAGCAACAACCACCCACCCCCCCTTCGAAGAAAACCTCTCGCGGCACACCCTCTGGCCAGAAGTGGAAAAGCTTTACGGTCACGGGTATGAGATTTCCTGTCTGTGCTCCTCCCACGACGGGAAAATCATCGCCTCAGCCTGCAAAGCCTCGTCTCTCAACCACGCCGTGATTAGGCTGTTCGAAACAGACAAGTGGACTGAGCTACGCCCGCCGCTGCAGGCTCATTCCCTGACCGTGGCGAGGGTGAGGTTCTCGGGGGATGATGAGCTGCTTTTGAGCGTGGGGAGGGATAGGCAGTGGGTTGTTTGGGGGAGGAGCGGCACGGGGTATGAGCTTGTGCAGCAGATGCAAAAGGGGCATTCGAGGATGATTCTTGACTGTGCCTGGGGGCCTGCTGAGGAGAAAAAAAGGGTTTTTGCGACGGCGGGGAGGGATAAGCTTGTTCGGTTTTGGGTTGGGGAAAACAAAGAGTTTGGGCTGGGGGGGGAGATGAAGGAGGGGGAGCCGGTTACTGCGGTGGATTTCCTGCCCGAGGTGACAACAGAGGGCAAGATGGTTTTGGCTGTGGGGACCGAGGCGGGGAGGGTCATGGTTGTTACTTTGGGTGTTGCTGAAGAGGGAAAGGTGGAGGTGGTGAGGAAGGCCGTGTTGGATAAGGGGCTCTGGTTGCCGGGGACGGTGGTGCAGCTTGCTTGGAGGCCGAAGACGGCTGAGCAAGATGAGAAGAAGAGGGAGCTGGCGATTGCGGGTGAGGATGGTTCGTTGAGGATATATGAGGTGGAGGTTCAGACTAGATGGTAGATGTGAATGAAAAAGTCATGATTAAAGTGTTACTATAGAACACGTTGATATCCGTGGTGTTAAGTTTATTGTTTGGTATGATATGTTTATGTGTACCGCCGTCCAAGGCATCTATCTGTATGCACCTGTTCATCCCCTTCCAAATTACTATATGACCGCCTGCTATGCCTGCCCCTAAAACGCCCAATTAATCCAACCATTCTCCCCTTATGTATGTCGTGTGAATTGCGTACACCACCCAACAGCACCACCGATAATTGACCGTTCCGTATTCCCAATCATTACTGTCACATCCCAACCGCATTAGTCGTCCATCCCCAACTTATCATCACCCAGCCCTCCAGGCCTACAGCAACCAGACCCTCCGATCGCTGCTTTTGGCCCACCATACCAAAAACCGCCACCGAAAACCTGTGTCTCGAGCAGGTCCCTGAACCATTCCCGGCCCCTGTCCTTCACGAGCTTAGAGCTCCTTCACAACCCCAGCCGTCACCTCCGCAACCTTCCCCAACGTCGAACTCGTCACCTTCTCTACCGCATCCACCGGCACCTCCCCATGCATATAAAACCACGCCCTCCCCACTATGAAGGCGATGTGATGGGGGAGATACAAGACCGTCGCGATGAGCGTCAGGCTGGTCAGGAGGAACAGGATCGAGTCTAACATTCATTTTCCTTCAATTAGCAAACCACCCAACGGGAGGGAGAGGTGCGTGTGTCCGGACGTACAAAAAATAAACTTCTCCATCGGCGTAAACATGTACACGCTCATCGTCACCTCGAGCTGGTAAACCTTGAGCTCCAGCCACTTGCTCAGCCTGTCGATGGGAGACATGGTGAGTTTTTCCTCTGCCGTGGGGGGGCGATAGTTGTTCATTGTTGTCATTTTGGCGGTTTTTTTGTTTGTTTTTTGTTGTTGTTTTCCTATTCTTCTTTGTTGAACTTTGCGAAATACGGTGAATGGTGGTGTGGTGTGGCGTGGTGAGGCGTGGTGTGGTGTGGTGTGTTGTCGCAAAAGTTGCAACTTTTTGGGAATTAATTCCTGGACTGGGCAAGGTTCCAGAAGCGCGACGGTTCAGGGGGTCGCGGCGGGCGGCGGCGGTCAGTCAAAGTCGGGGCGGAAGTATCGGCCATTTAACTGGGTGGGTATGGCTGATTGGCCAATTCTCGATAAGCCACAAGGCAACTCCATAATTCCTTATCTGCGTCGCGACACGGGGATGGATTGGTGACGCCGTCAACAGCCAGCACTTACAGACATGAGTATAGCTTCAACCATCCCTCCAGTTTACAGCCACAATGTTTTCCCTACGACCCCTCCTCCGCCACCAACCATGCCACCTCCTCACCCGTTACCATCCCCTCCCACCACCAACAACAACAACAACAACAACAGCAGTAGCAATACCCGCACCCTTCCACACCACCCCTCCCAACCAAAACAAAAAAACCATATCCCGCAAACAAATGCCCTCAAGACCTAAACCACCCCCCGAATCCGAAATCGAAGAGTCCTTCCTCAAGGGGTCAGGCCCGGGTGGTCAGAAAATCGTGCGTTATATACTCGCCCCCCCACCAAACTCACCCCCCTCTCTCCAAACCCAACCGCACCACCACTAACACAAACCGCAACTGAAAACAGAACAAAACCAACTCGGCCGTCCAGATAAAACACCTCCCAACCAACATCGTAATCAAGTGCCAAGCCACCCGCTCCCGCTCCCAAAACCGCAAGATAGCCCGCGACATCCTCGCCGAGCGCCTCGACGAGCTCTACAACGGTTCCCAGTCCCGGGTCGCCATCGTCGGCAGCGTCAAGAAGAAAAGGGCCGACAGTGCCGCAAAGAAATCCCGAAGAAAACACAGGAAACTGGCTGAGGAAAAGGCCAGGGCTGCCGGGTTGACTTTGCCAGAGACAAAACAGGTTCAAGAGGGAGAGGAAGTGGACGAGGAGGAGTTCGAGTGGGAGGTTGTGGATGAGGAATATCACGACGAGTCCAACGAAATAGAGACACCTGGCACCAAGTCGGAGACGGTAAAAGTCGACGGCAACGGTCATGATCTAAAAGAACCACCTGTGGACAGACAAGCAGTCATACAAAATAAACAAGACAATCCATAATCAAGGGCAAACCAACCATAATCAACTTGTTTTATCGTCTTCTTACACAGACAGCCACAGGATAGCGGAAAAAAAACAACTAAATTCACCCAATGGCTAGTGCAATAAAAAAAAGTAAAAAAAAGTGCTTCATCAACCTTTACGGTCTACTTGTACCACGCGCTGCCCCCGCACAATCGCACCCGCCCGCCCAGGAAACACAGAGACTGATAATTACCGTGTCGTCCGAGAACAGACGCCCACCGTCCCCTGACCAGCGTCCAAACTTTTTGTAAATAGGAGTCTCGTCCACGAGATACAAGCCCGACGCCATAGTAATGCCTCATGCCGCTGCCGCAGCTGTGGTCTCTAGTAGAGCAAAAGGTCACCGCTGCCTGGCGACGATCCGGGAAGCTGCCACACCCTATGCTACGAGGCGGTCAGTCATCAGCCCGTTAAGAGGGGAGATGAGGAGAAAATACCTTAGAAGCACTTGCGGTGGACGATCGAGGGACCGCTCTCGTCGTACTCCTGCTTTGAGATCCACATCTGCTGGAAGGTGGAGAGAGAGGCCAGAATGGAACCACCGATCCAGACGGAGTACTTGCGCTCGGGAGGAGCAATGATCTTGACCTTCATGGAAGAAGGAGCAAGAGCAGTGATCTCCTTCTGCATACGATCGGAGAGACCAGGGTACATGGTGGTACCACCAGACTAGTCAGGGGTCAGCCTTTGCCACATTGAAGGAATAGGAGGGTCACCCCGGAAATAATCACCATGACGATGTTGCCGTAGAGGTCCTTTCTGACATCGACGTCGCACTTCATGATGGAGTTGAAAGTGGTGACGTGGATACCGCCAGACTCCAGGCCAAGGACGGAAGGCTGGAAGAGGGCCTCGGGGGCGCGGAAACGTTCGTTGCCAATTGTAATGACCTGGCCGTCGGGAAGCTCATACGACTTCTCCAGACTGGAACTCTGAGCAGCAGTCTGGATCTCCTGCTCAAAGTCGAGAGCAACGTAGCAGAGCTTCTCCTTGATGTCACGGACGATTTCACGCTCGGCCGTGGTGGAGAAAGTATAACCACGCTCGGCGAGGATCTTCATCAGGTAGTCGGTCAAATCACGGCCGGCCATGTCGACACGGGCAATGGCGTGGGGAAGGGAGAAACCCTCGTAGATGGGGACGACGTGGGTGACACCATCACCAGAGTCGAGCACGATACCGGTGGTGCGACCGGAGGCGTACAGGGAAAGGACGGCCTGGATGGAGACGTAGAAGGCGGGGGCGTTGAACGTCTCGAAAACGATCTGTGTCATCTTCTCACGGTTGCTCTTGGGGTTGATGGGAGCCTCGGTCAAGAGGACGGGGTGCTCCTCGGGGGCAACGCGGAGCTCGTTGTAGAAGGTGTGATGCCAGATCTTCTCCATGTCGTCCCAGTTGGTGACGACACCGTGCTCGATAGGGTAGCGAAGCGTGAGGATACCACGCTTGGACTGGGCCTCATCACCAACGTACGAGTCTTTTTGACCCATACCAATCATAATACCATGGTGACGGGGGCGACCGACAATGGAAGCTGGGGCGGTGAGTTAGCTGAAATGTCCAAAAAGGCAGCCATTGCTGGCATTGCTGGCAGCTTGCCCGCGCGGTGCGGTTGACCAGAGGCGCGACTTACGGAAAACGGCACGAGGAGCATCATCACCGGCGAAACCGGCCTTGCACATGCCGGAGCTAGATGCACGTCAGTTTCCATCCATTTTTTGTCCTGTGTGGTTCTCTCATGTTCGCGGGGACGGCGAGTTTGTTGCTGGGCCAGCGGGCTCGATGATGTGTCGAGTTGCGTCGCTGCTCCGCCCCCGCAGAACCGAGTCGGTGAGATTGGGAGAGATTGGGAGATTGCGGGATCGCGGCTTACCCATTGTCGATAACGAGGGCAGCAACTTCTTCTGCACGCGGGACACCGGATCAGCATTTGTTTGATCATCAAGGTATTCCAGGCATTTGGACTGCCAGCTAGCTGCTTGCGAAGGGGGCAGCAGCAGTCGTCATCTTCGCAGCTGGGAAACTGGCAGCCCGAGCTTGGTAGGTTAGGTGTGGTGACTTACCCTCCATTTTGATAGATTATTTGCTTGTAGACGAAAAAGTTTGAAGGTGAAAAAGTCAATAATCAGCTTGCGCGATTCCCGGATCGTCAAGAGCAGGAGGTTGATGGATGGTTATGGGTTGTCGGAGACAGATGCAGAGGCGGAGAGTGGAAAAAGATGGGTTCCCGCGGCGCGAGGTTGGAAAGGGGAGGTGAATTTAAGGTCAGTGCTTGGGTCTTGGTTCCTCCCCCCCCTCCCCAGTCCCCAGCGCTCCAGGAGAGACTGGTGGGTGGAGCGACACACACACACGCTGACGAAGGAAGGCCCTGTCCCCCCCTGCAACGATGTCACAGCTGCTTCCCAACCCACTGCCTGTCTGACTGCCTACATAAAATCAACTGGCACTGGCAAGTCGAGACCGCCTAATTTGGCAGAAACAAGGGATCGACTTGCCGCTTTAACAAATCTGGCCTGGTTGTCTGCTTCGTCACTGATGTGGCTGGGCTGACAGCTTGTGAATATTTGGAGTTGTAACTATCTATTTCTATTCCAACGCTTTGTCTCTCCATCTCTCAATCCCGTCCCTCTCTGGCCGTCGACAGTAGAGGTACCTCTCTCTGTAGGTCCTCGAGGCAGCCAGCCACCTTCACCAACAATTACGCAGCTCTCCCAGTTGTCAACCTGTTGTTGAGCTATGTGAGCACAATACCGTACGTGGCACAACCCATACGGTGCGGCGACCTCATGGACCCAGCTTCGCTTGGCACCTGTTGCCACAACGCGGGGAGGCGGCAAGGTATCTGCACGGTGTGTTTTCCCGAGGCGGTGGCCTTGTCCACCTGTCAATCAATAATGCCACTATCACTGTCATCAAGTAATACCTATGAAGAAAGAAAGATGGGATGAACTGCAAGATCATGAAGAAAAAATGAAGTCGGGGAAAAGGCTGACGACGACTCGGCCCCATTATCTTGTTCTCGAGACACCCCGTTCAACACCAACATCACAAAACCACCACCGCCAAGCAGGCACCTCCTTTTTCGACTTTCACGGGGCGCTGCGTTCAAAATATGAGAATATGGGGCAGTGGAGGTATACGTATGCCCTTGCAGTTTGATACCGTCAAAAGCTTCGAAACAGCATTCCAGACAACCACCTTCGAAAAAAAAAAAAAACGGAAGAAAAAAAAGGACAACGTTATGTTTCTCCCGGTGGCTGTTCCCGAGCAGGAAGCGTTGCGGCTATATGGCCATACCGGGTCCACGCTGTGAGATAGCTGATAACTTCCAACAAGGCGGCGGCGGCGGGCAGCTGCAACTGCAAGCAGCAACTCCACCGCTAGTCCAAGGAGAATCCGAGAAATGCATCTCGGCCGGTCCGGGGAATCCGTTGGTGGACAAGTCCTACGGGATATCATTCCAGGCTGGATATTTGATTGCGGTTGGTCCCCATTATACATAGTATGTAGATATGTCGGTGAGCCTCCTCCCCCTTTGATAACAAGTTTGAGGTTGTCCGATATAGCGCCGATTGGGGTTGAGGTATGAAACAAAAGGAGCTAATTGCGTAATCATCCGTCTCTATTATTGATTCGAGATGCAATTGCGTGCAAGTTCAGGGGGTTGATGATAATGGGAGATGATTCTCCTAATGATAAAGTGGCTACCTTCCCCTGTCTCTCTATGGTGTCCTCAACTTCCCCTTTTTTTCATTTTGGCTTAGGCGAAATCGTTAAGAGCGGCGATGAGGGGCAGTGGTGGGGCAGCTTTCCACCTTGTTCTAAAAGTGTGGAGGGGCACGTAAACGCACGAGCCATCACAGCGGCATCGTATCGTCTACGATATGGAGTATCATCAGCGAGCCTCATCTTGAGGTTTTGTTCTGGAAGACTTGGCAGAAATTGGCTTATATTCCTTATGTTCAAGTCCCTCCGGCTTTCATAATCTATTCATATCAAGTGATGTCTCCCCAATGCCTCAGTCGGACACAAATCATGAGCTTCACAGACACTCACGTGCAAGCGCGCTAGTCCCGTTCGGGATAGAATTTTCCTGAACATTCGCGAACGCCAATCGCAGATTACAGATTGGGATTCAATTTTGGGTGTCATATCGCTATCACTTTTTTCATAAGACTGCGATTCCCGAGTTTTATCTTGACCATATTTCTCCAGTCGCATACTCTTCAAGATACCCATTCTCTCCCAGACGTTCTGGTGATATATCAGCCAGTCAAAAATCACATCTGAACCCGATCACCCCTCCATAACCGTCTGTCGCAAACTACCCCTCCATCAAACATCTCGAAGCCTTCAACCACCACCATCATCACCACCACCCCCTCAAACAAAATGGATAAAAACCTCACCAACCTCCTCAAATGGGGAATCGAGCACTCCACCGTCTCCAACCCCTCCGCCGACCCCTCCGCCCCTTCCCCCCCCCTTTCCCAACCGGCCCCCCGCAGCGACCTCAACCCCGAAATCCTCTCCGCCCTCATGGGCGGCCCCTCAGACGCAGACCTGATGAAAGCAGCAATGGAAGTCCTCCACGACCCGACCACCACCCTCGAAAACAAGCTCATCGCCTTCGACAACTTCGAGCAGCTCATCGAGTCCCTCGACAACGCAAACAACCTCTCCAACCTCTCCCTCTGGACCCCCCTCCTCGCCCTCCTCTCCCACTCGGAGCCCGAAATCAGAAAGTACGCCGCCTGGTGCGTCGGCACCGCTGTCCAAAACAATATCAAGTCACAAGAGAGATTGTTGGCGATGGGGGGGTTGCCGAGGTTGGTGGAGATGATCCTGGCAGAGGACGAACAGGAAGGGGTGAGGAGGAAGGCTGTTTATGCGTTGAGTTCGGCGGTGAGGAATTACCAGCCTGCGTTGGATGTTTGTCATGAGGAGCTGGTCAAGGGGGGTCATCATGAAGCGGAACAAAAGGTGGGGGATGCGACGGATATGGATGGGGTTGATAGGGTTATGGAGGGGTTGAAGGAGCGGGTCAAGAGGACGAGTAACAAGACTTAAAGGAAGGGGGATCAACAAAAATGATTTTGCATTACACGGCGTTTTTGGGAGGGGTTTAAAATGGGTTTTTGGGTGGGAAGGGGTTCGTGTGAATATAGACATGATAAGACGGGCAGATTCAATGGCGTGTGGCTTTTGCTCACTTGACATGAACAAAACTCTTGATTCAGAAACCTTGCCGGTTGTCTATGTGTTGTTACATTTATACACTTTTTTACTGGTATTTTGTACAAGTTCTTCCTCTCCCTCTCTGCCCCCTTTAATTCTTCACTTCACCAAAAAACGGCAACCCCATAGCCTGAAGCAGCAACCTAGCCTGCCTATCCGACGTGGCCGTAGTCTTGACGTACACTCTGCAACCAGGCACCATCTATTTTTCTTGTCAGCACAACCACTTCATCATAAACTGAGACCCGAGTACTCACCTTGGGCGGATACATCCCCAAATTGACCTCCATCTCCGGAAACAGCTTCAGCTCCTCGGGCGTAAACCCCCACGCCAAATTCCCCGAGCTGTCCCCCGTCGTAGCCTCAATCCCCCTCCAGTCCTTAATCCTCGGAAACACCAAGTTCACACACCGATCAAAAAACTCATACGCCTCATTCCCCCTAACAGTAACCTTGCACCCCGCAAACTCCCCCGCCCGAATCTTCCACTGCTGGACATTAGTCCGTGTCTTTGTCATCTCGGGCAGCACCCCCGTAATAGCAAGCAGCGCCGCGCGGGCAACAAGCAGATTGTCCATGTCCTGCAGCGCGGCAGGGACGTACGCCGCGAGGGTGATTTCCTTGATCTCGGGTATATTCGTAAAGTTGACATCCCTCTCCAGCAGCGGCAACACCGGCGCGCCGCGGGGGGCGCGGAGGGAGCGATTGGCGTGGTAGGGGGAGGAATCATCCCATTCACGAAGACGTTGGGGTGTTTCCTTCTTTGGTGTTCCGGGGGGTATGTGGTTGTAGGTTAGCGTCATGATGTCGGAGGCGACGGTGGAGAGGTACGTCTGTCGTAGGCGGGGGAGGTTGAAGGGGCCGGGGACGAAGTCGCGGGCTGTGGGCTCCGAGGAGGGGAGGGGTTGGACCGGGTGGAGGGGGCCGCGGTCGTATTTGGGGGCGTGGTAGTTGTATCTGTCGTGTCAAAAGGTCAATATATTGTTGCCATGTAGAGGGGGGGGGTAAAAACAAACCTCCCACTTGGCAAAGCAAACTTCCTGTCTGCTTGCCTCTTCCAAGGTCTAAACGTCTTCTTCTCCTCCTCCCTCAATGGCGGCGCCCCCAAAGCCGAGTCCTCGAGGTCCTCAAGAGGCGCCTCGGCGGCGGCTGAAGAAGCCCATCGTCTGGAACAGGTCTGCCGGGATATTTGAGACAGGGAAACACCCCGGGTCGGTCGGGACAGGGCGCGGACGCTCGCCATGGCTTCGAAAGGGATCGGGCGGCGGGCGACGGAAATTCGAGATTGATCGGAGTGGTTTGCCCGGAGCTCACTCGGCCCAAAAGCTCTGAGACGGCTCTCAAGGTTGCAGTTGGAAATTTTCTGGAGCCCCGTGGCACAGACCATTTTGAGGGGCGGGTTAGGGTTGGATATGCATTTATTCACATTACGAGCAACTACAAGTACGAAGTGAACATCACGGAAATAATCCATTGAGACTTTTTATAACGCCAAAAGTAATGATTCTAATGATATCAAACCCATTTCCCAAGTTTCAACCAGAGAAAAAAAAACATTCATGGCTCATCATCATCCGCGTTGTTGCGTCTGTGCTTGCCTCTCCCCTTCATAGACCCCTTATAATGCTTCTTCCCCGTAGTCATCTGCACATCCTTCGGGTCGATTCCCTTCTCGAGAGCAATCATAGCCCTCAGTTTCCTCCCGGACAAGTTCTTGCCCTCCATAACCTGCTTGCCCTGCTCCGTGTACTTGTACTGGAACGGTCTGGTGAAGTTGCCAGTGTTGTTCGCACCGCTCTTGAAGAAAGCCTTGTCCAGTGTTTGCGATTTTTGCCCCTGAGGAAGGGGGATGAAGTCGGTCAGAACCGAAGCATCATCAGCTGCACTACCATCGATGGTCATCTCGTCCAGTGCTTGTTGCAGGGCAGCTCTTCTCTTCTCGGGCAGATGGGCAATGTCGTAGAGCTCGCGATTGAACTCGGCACCATCGACACTGTCTGGTGGCGGGTTGCAGTAGAGGAGCTTGCCAGCGACATAATCCTTGAGGACATATCTCGCTGCTCTGGAGGCATCGGGTTGACCGAGACCCTGTGTCATGAAACCTCTGTGACGGGCATACGCTCTGAGCAATTCCTCACCAGTAGGAATGCCATTGCCGCCTTCCTCGAGAGGGCGGGTGTAAATCTGGATACCGTAGATGGCCTCCAGAAAAGGCTTGGGGATTCTGGTAGCCACGAGAGTGGAGGGACCAGTGTACTCGCGGAGCTGATCAATCGGCAAGACACCGTTGCAGACAAGCTCTGCCTTGGTGTTGGCAAAGTTGGGGAACACGAGACCGGGACAATCGCACAATAAAACCTTTTCACTCAAGTGAATGGTCTGGAAATGCTTCGTTTTACCGGGGGTGGACGAAACTGACACCTTGTTGGCACCAACAAGAGCGTTGATTGTGGACGATTTACCGACGTTGGGGTAACCGACCAAACCGACTGTGAATTTGTGACCAGGGTCTGATGATTATGGTTAACTTCGTGTCGAGGTGTTCAAAATCTAGGTCAGTAGCTTACCTGTATTCGCCGGCTCAAGCTCCAAAAGAATATCCTCCAACTCGTCCACCGTCAGAATTCTGGTATCCTCATCCTCCTGCTCTTCTTGGGTCTCGGCCTCCTCAGCCTCCTCAGCCTCCTCCTCCTCCTCCTCCCGAGTCTCCTCCTTCACCTCAGCAACCGGCTTCTTGCTAGAAGAAGCAACGGTGGGCTCCTCCTCAGACTCAGACTCCTCCTCCACAGCCTCGAGCGCCTCCTTGGCCAGATGAGCAGAGAAGAACCTGTAGGCAATCTTTTGACCCTTGAGGTAATCAGCCCACATCTTTCTCTGCCTATACGTCATCATATCGGCCTTGTTGATAAGCAGCAGGTTGTGCTTCTTGGGGTCCACCTCCTTGACATAGTTCTCCAAATCCTCAGAACGGAACATCAACGGGTTTCTGGCATCAACAATCTGAACAACAACATCAGAGCGCTCGATAACTCTCCAGAGCTGCCTCCACACCTCCAAGTTTCTCTCAAACGGTGTCATGAGCAAGTCCTTGGTCTCCTCCAGCTCGGCCAGCCCTCTTCTCCAGTCCAAAAAGGCCTCCTTTTCCAGCCTGTCAAGCTGCTCCCTGGTCGTGGTAGAATCCCACTTTGGCCTTCTGGGAACCGTCAATTTGCCCTTGTTCTGGTTTTGTTTCCCGACAATGACCCTCTCCTCGGCGGCGGACAAGAGATAGGGGTTCTTTTGGTCCGTGTGGATGATCTTGACGCTGCTCATCTTCTCGGCGGTGAAATCGGTGCCGGCCAGTTCGGCGGTGGCGAGGAACTCGTCGAGGGCGCCCTGCTCGGTGATGGAGCGCATCTTGACCCAGGAGGCTTCCTGCCTGTCGTTGGTGATGTATTCCTGGCCGGTGGCATGGTCGATACGGGTGACGGCCGAGGCTCTCTTGCGGTCGGAGCCTTTGCCCTTGCCGAAGCGGTCGTTCATCAGCGAGTTGCCGAGACCGACCGACTTTTTGGATTTGGCGAGGACCATGATTGCGGTTTTCCGCCGGGTGTTGCCTATGTGTGGTTTTTTTCGGATGGTGTTACTAGCACGCTACGATCGGGATATCGTAGCTATAGGTGCTGAAATTGGGGGGATGTGATGTAAGTTGAACAACGTCCGTCGCAAAGTTGGGCGGGGTGGTGGTTTATTGATGGAATTGCTGATAAATGGAGGGGCAAATTTGCGCTGACGGACAGAGATGGTGCTGGGGTACCTAGTGCCTATCCTAGGTATGACTGTGTGTGGCGGTCTCTGGCCGCCTTCGGGTTACGTAAAGCTCTCTGGGCACTTTTTGAGGGATGAATTCTTCTCTAAAGTCATTGTTCTATCACTTCCAGCAGTTAATCCAAACAATTCCAGCTTGGTGTTGCTCTTCAGGCTCGATGCAGTGAATAGTCTCTATGAACAAGTGTTGGCTCAAAAGTACCCCTCCCGCAAAATCTTTGATAAGATAAACGTATTCTACCCCACCAAAATTTTCCTTTGCTCTGCCGCGTGCATGGTTTGGTGTGGTGGTGGTGCTGCACTCTGATAACAAATTCCACCTTGACAGCTTTTTTGGGCTCTTGATTCGAGAATTCCATTTCCTGCCCTCATCCATCAGCTGAACGTAGAGAACTTGCCCCTAACCAAACCAACCTCTGTCCGTCAAGCGCAACTGCTTGACCAAACCAGCCAAAAATGGGCAAAGGAAAGTGGATGTAAGTCTACTCCCCTCAGATAACAACCTCCCCTCACCTCGAAGTCATACTCACATCTGAACAGCGACAAAAAAACAGCCACCCACTTCACGCTCGTCTACCGCCCCCAGAACGACCCCCTCATCCACGATGACACAGCCCCTTCCATGGTCCTCGCCCCCAGCGCGCCCTCCAAAAATTCAAAATCCAAAGGCCTAAGCGACCTCGCCTCGGAACTCGGCTCCGACGCCGCCTCGATCCGCGACAACGAGGGCGAGGCCGCCAACTACGGCGTCTACTACGATGACACCGAGTACGACTACATGCAGCACCTCCGCGACCTCGGCACCGGCGCCGGGGAGGCCGTCTTTGTCGAGGCGCCCTCCTTGCAAAAGTCCAAGGGAAAACAAAAGATGAACTTGTCGGAGGCGCTGGCAAAGATGGACTTGGAGCACAAGAGCGAGGGGTTGTTGGATGAGGAGATATTGCCGAGCAAGAATTTGCAGAGGTTGACGTATCAGGCTCAGCAGGATGTTCCTGATTCTATTGCGGGGTTTCAGCCGGATATGGACCCGAGGTTGAGGGAGGTTTTGGAGGCGTTGGAGGATGAGGCGTATGTGGATGAGGAAGGGGGGGAGGATGTGCTGAAGGGGCTGGTGGAGGGGGATGCGGAGGAGCTGGATGAGTTGAGGGATGTTTGGGAGGAGGATGAGGATGAGGATGAGGGGTGGGAGTCGGATTGTACGGTCAAGGCTGGGCCGGCGCAGAAGAAGCAGCAGCGGAGTCAAGAGGAGGATCAGGTGCCGGAGCTGGTTGATACTTCCAGGGAAGGTGATCAAGAAGGACCGTCGGATGACTGGATGGGAGAGTTTAAGAAGTTTAAGGATGATCAGAAGTCTGGTGCCGCGGCCCCGAAAAAGAAGGCGGTTGGGTGGGGGGCTACGCCGTCGGAGATTCAATCGTCGATTTGGACCACCACTACCAATGGCGGGAGGCAAAAGAAGAGGAAGGGCGCGTTGACGAACCCGTCGACCTACTCGATGACTTCTTCGTCGATATACCGGACAGAGCAGCTCAACATCTTGGATAGAAGGTTTGAGAAGCTCGAGGAGGAGTATAACTATGACGAGGACGACTTGGCGTCTGTGTCGGCCGTGTCCACCATGTCGACTGTCCAGGGGACCACCAGGCAAGACTTTGACAGCATGCTGGACGAGTTTTTGGGTGAGTATGACGTGCGGGGTAAGAACAGAGTCAAGAAGGGCAAGTGGAAGAATGGAGTGGCCGAGTTTGACGAGATCAGGAAGGCGTTGGGGCCGCCGATAATTCCGGCCAAGTATAGGACTGGGGGCAGAGGTGAAGAAAAGAAAGCGGAAGAGAAGAAACCATAGAGTCTGTCCTATCACACCAGGAAGTATTTCTTTTACATAAAAATTCGATACCATTGTTACATTGCCTCCCCAACATCTATCCCTGGTATCTTTAACACCCCATGAACCCAGCCAGATTCACCAACCCCTCTTGCTCCCCAACCACCTCGTCGTCACTCTTCACCTCCTCCAGCAGCTTCTTGATAACCTCATGATCCCTCACCTCCCAAAACGCCTTCACCCCCTCCACAAACCTCTCGGCAGCCAACTCGACATTCTCCTCCTCCTCGGCAGCAAAACAAAGCCTGAAGTACTCCCACCCTTCCCCCTCCTTGATCTCGTCATTCGCAGCGAAGATTGCCCCCGTCGTGACCAAGACCTTGTAGTCCCCCCCCGTAAGCCAGACCATCAACGCGGTTGACAAGGCAGACTTGAAAACGGGGAACAAAGGATGTGAAAAGAAGTGCATCCTCAACCAGATGAACATGCCCGCTCTCGGCCACGAAAAGTCGTACAACTTTACTTTCTTCACCACGGCCCATGAGTGGGAGCGGGTTGGGGGGGTGGTGATGAGGACGGAGCCGGAGTCGAGGATGGTGCACATTCTTGCCATGCGGGTCTGGTAGCGGGTGCGGAGGCCGGAGAGCCAGGTTACGAAGCCGGACGGTTGCCAGCCTG